GAGAGAGAGAGAGAGAGAGAGAGAGAGAGAGAGAGAGAGAGAGTAAAACTTGTGTCAACTTAAGTGGACGTCCACTAAGTTTCTTACCCATTGATGATCACTTGATTGAGCTGCTTTGTGGATGATCCGCTCCGTTGAACTTGATCTACATATTCTAAAACCCCAACACACCAAATTTGGGTTGAATCCGTCATGGTTTGACCCTTCATCCACTCGTATCAATTTTAATGGTTTCAAATGAATAGAACTTTTTACATGGCTCGACGGAGGGTCAAACCACGACGGGTTCACCCCAAATTTGGTGTGTTGGGGTTTTAGAATATGTAGATCAAGTTCAACGGAGCGGATCATCCACAAAGCAGCTCAATCAAGTGATCATCAATGGGTAAGAAACTTAGTGGACGTCCACTTAAGTTGACATAAGTTTATATATATATATATTCTAAAACCCCAACACACCAAATTTGTTGAACTTGATATACATATTCTAAAACCCCAACACACCAAATTTGGGATGAACCCGTCGTGGTTTGACCCTCCGTCGAGCCATGTAAAAAATTCTATTCATTTGAAACCGTTAAAATTAATACGAGTAGATGAAGGGTCAAACCACAACAGGTTCACCCTAAGTGTTAGGGTTTTAGAATATGTAGATCAAGTTCAACGAAACGGATCATCCATAATGTAGCTCAATCAAGTGATCATCAATGACTAAGAAACTTAGTGGACGTTCACTTAAGTTGACATAAGTTTTTCTATATATATATATATATATATAGTAAGACTCCTATCAACTTAAGTTGATGTCCACGTGATATGGTCATTAATGTATACTTATATATACTTACATATATATTTCTAATATATACTATATATAATTATAGTATGATATGGTCATTAACATATACTTATACATAATATATGGCTATATACTAGGCCTGAGCATGGTTCGGTCCAAATCGAAAAAACCGACCGAACCGACCCGAAAAAATCGGTTTTATGAGTAGGGCGGTTCGGGTCGGTTTGAAAACTTTTCAATCCGAACCGACTCGAACCGACCGAATATAGTGCAATACTACCCATTCTGATCTCAAACCGTACCCGTCCCGTCCCCAAAGAGTCAAAGACTCAAACTCTAAACTCATTTTCTAGATCATTATGGGTTGAAAATAATATCATTATATCAGTGTTTAATGCTTCATAATCTTCTACTTTGATATTTTTTTTTCTTTAACATAGTTTTTTGTTTGATAAGAAGTTTGATTAAGTTAGAACCGAACCGAACTGCACCGAACCGACTTGTAATAGTTCGGTTCAGTTCGGTTGTTCAAATTTTGGTAAAAACCGAACCGACCGTTGCACACCCATACTATATACTAATATAGTAATATGTAAGTATATACTAATATATACCTATATAAATATAATAAAATTAATCTAATTTTTTAATTAATTTTTACTAAAAAACTCAAAATGAATAAAAAACTACAAAAAATAAAAAAAATCCGGGTCGGCCTGGAGCCCAGCCTGGTTTGGCTCGGACCTGCATTCGGGCTCGGGCCGGGCACCACGGCTCCT